GGGGGGGGGGGGGGGGGGGGGGGGGGGGGAGAGAGAGAGAGAGAGAGAGAGAGAGAGAATGCTTTCCAACTCCTTCCTATCCTCTTCTGGCATTTTCATTAAATCAGAGACACAATTCATACATTAATCTTCCAAAATCTGTTCAATTTTCAGTCAGTGCTTTGTGAGAACCTATTTACTACACTTTATTCTATACATTTCATAAAGATACAAAATCCTACAATAATTATATATGCAAGTTAATTTATAAATGGTATGTTGTTAAAATAAATATGAGTTTGATAAGAAAGCAAATTTACATAATTGTTTACATTTTCCCAAAATGTGTTTCATAGAGAAAGAGAGAAAGTAAGAGACAGAAATACAATGAACTGTTTATAATTTTCAGATCTCAGGAAATTTTAGATCTCTTCATCATATTTCATGCGCATCAGGGTTTAGCAGTCTTTCAGACTGAATTTGGAAGAAATGCTTCAGAATGTATGGGAGTGTGGGAGTGGGGTATCCCTCCAACTCATTAAACAGTTGCATCTTCCACTTCAGGTGGGCTCTCCTAGAAACAGGTGTAGCTGCTTTAATGAGTTCTACTTAGGGATTTCTGTACCTTACAAAGCTCCTCTTCTGAATCAAATTCAAAGCACTGCACAGCCCTGGTAGTGAATTCTATATATTATGTTGTCTTGAAAATACCTTTTTGTTTTTCCTGAGTGTGCTGACAATGATTCATTCTAAAAAAGTTAACTCTGAATTCTCTTTCTTTTATTACATGAAAGAGAACTACAATTTTGAAAGAATACAAAGCTCACATAGAGAGTCTGGAGGCTATTTAAAGTGTTGTTTTTATTCTCTCTAAATGTTATTCCTTTTATAATTTAAATTTATTTGATGGTTTCTCTCTTCTTTTATCCTTGCATATATCTCCATCCAAACATAATAAGCAAGGGAAATATAACATTCAACCACAAAAGGGTTATGGGGAAAAAGTAGGGAAGCAGATGATTTGGGCGTTTTTTCTTTGCTATGTAAACATCTGGAACTGCAACAGCCTCAACTTCAGGCAATTTTGAGCAGAAGTTTGGAATACTAAAAAGACAAATGTTTCAAGCTACCAGATGGAGGAAACTGTAACCTATGATAAAACAGAATAAAACACTGTTTTTTTCTTAATTGTATATCTTGGCTGTGTTCATACATCATTCTAAGCTAGTGATGTTGGTTGGTTTCAAGCTCAGCATGATGTAGGAGAACAACCATTGTAGCCTGCAACCAGGTTTATAGGTCAGCATGTTATACAAACCCAGCGTGTTGTGTTTTACTCAACAAACCAGTGTTAAGAAAAAAGGGTTTACTATACCTCATGAACACAGCCTCAGGTAACAGGACACTGCATTATGTCCAACCTTTTGTGCAAAAAAATTAACCCAGTCATGATCCCACTTTCAGGGTCAAAAGTCATCATTTTGAGCATAAAGAGTTTCTACACATTTTCTCCAAGAGCCCTGTCACCAGGAATTATTGACAAGGCTTCAGTACATCACTAACAAGGTAGCAGTGGGTATGAAATGAACTGCCCTTCATAACTCCACAGCTGACTGGGTTTAGGAATTCAAACATCACACCAACCAGCCCGTGTCGCAGTAAAACAGAATGGGCTAACACAGTCACTAAATCAGACCACGGTCCATGTAGCTCAAACCACACTGTGCTAAGGATTCCACTGCATCTAAACCATGATGCAACCCAATTTACAGTACAAGACTAGGGTTAGACACTTCCATAAACCTGAATCTGGAACACTTTTTTCCATCCTTGTCTGTAATTTGAACTAGAACTAAGGACCTGAATTAGAGGAAAAAATTAGAACCAGAGGTTGAAAAACAGTATTTCACAGGAAAACAGATGACTAAATTTGTACCATGATCCCACATAATCTCAACAGCCATGCTTGCATGGGTAGATGGAAACTGCAGCCCAACGTGTCTGAAGGGCACCAAACTGAAGATGCTTTAGGATATATCCCAATCACAGGTCATAAAAACCCCAGTGCCTGACAGGGCAGACATGGGAACTTATACAGGTAAAACATTGTAAGACTTGTTTCTTTAATATTATAGCCATTAATATCACTCAGTTCTTTTCATCTGACCTTATGCCAGGGAAATAGCACCCAGTGTTGATTTGTAGATTTTGATTGCAGCTCTGTGACACGGGCATATTTTTAGAGATTATATTTAGATCATGACATCTCCTGGCAAACCACAGTTCAATATATTCAATAATTATAAAGATGCCAGAGGGCTTTCATCAAGTCTTACCAGCTGTCCTTCATGCACAAGACCACAAGTATGAAAGCCATGCTTTTAAATTACTTAGTGCTTTAAGTGTTTAATTTTCTCTCCGGGTGACACTGAGGTTTCTTCATAGGATGAGGAAACTATCAGTTACATAATTAGAGATGCTACCCTCAGAAAACTGAACCTGCACTTATCAAGCATATTATGATAACAGATTGCAACTATTTAAAAATAGATCTTCTCTTGCTCAGCAAATTCTTTCAGTATGCTGCCCTATAACTTAGGAGCACCACACATATTACTAAATTCACTGGATTAATTACTGCATTATGCATGTGACAGTCATGCGTAATTGCAATCCTATAGGCAATCCTATAGGCAGCTGCATGCAACAGGAATATACAACTAACCCATTTCCTGGTACACATATACTGCATGTACATTCAGCAATATTATTAGTAATCTTTTTTATATATAACTCAAGGCACATACATGCACATATAACACCATGTGAATATAACACATTTAACATATAACACTTATAACACACATAATCTTAATTTTTTAAAATTTGCGATAATGTTTTTATTTTAATGATAACTTTTTATCTTTTTATAATGCTTGCTTTTATTCACTTGTTATTTTGTTTAATTGTCGTATGCCGCCCAGAGTTGCTTTGTGTGAGATGGGCGGCTATATAAATGTGATGTATAAATTAATTAATTAACTAAATTTTAATTTAGTTAATTTAGTTAATTTAATTTTAAATTAATTAATTAATTTAAAAACAATAAACACCGCATGAGCATATATGTGCATATAACACCATCATATAAGCTAGTTTAGTGTCTGCAATACATTCATTCCTATTTCAGAATGCATTCTATGTAAGAATTGATGCCACATATATCCATGGATGCAATCACAATTAAATATAAGGTTTTGCTGTTAGTAATTTAAATAGGAAATAAGATTTCCTACTCTAGCAGAACTGAACAACCTGGCTGTCAGGGCTTTTGAGTCTACTTGGGCCTGACAGGCACTTTGTGGTACAGAAGTCTAGTCTAGTACATAAAGTGGTCCTGGTCTACTGCTATCGCTAAGCTGCACCATACTTGCTAGAGAGAGTAGATGAAGATAGAAAACCCTACTTCTATATCAGATTAAAAAAAAAACAGAATGGCCTTGGCTATGGGCTGGGAATGAGAAGAAGACAGCTATGCAAACATGTCCATAAAGAGAAGTTAGTGAGGCATATTTGAGCCAAACCTAGGGGAACATATGCATCAAGATACACAATTTCTGAATCTGACCATAACCCAGTGGAAGTTTGAGACTGCTTTAAGATGCACGTATAGAAGAAACACATCACCAAAATGTATTTTAATGTATCATACTCACAAATTTTAAGAAAACATCTCCCAGTTCATGCTGAGACTGAGGTTCAGGGTGTAAACAGTATTCTAGAGCAGTCAGGAAGTCCTTATGAACATCAAGTATATCTTCTATATTGGAAAATAAAATCTGCAACATAAAGAGGACCTCCAGTAATAATTGCTAATGAAAACTTCACAGATTCTTCTCCCTCTACCCATTTCAAACAATCTTTATTGAGTTTGTTTTAATATTTCATAATGAAATAACAATTTAGCATTTAATTTAAAAATTAGAAAACAAAATTCAGTAAAGGCTATGCAAGAACTAAGAAACTTAATTAACTATGGTTTGGCACAATGTCTGAACAAAGACTACCCTATTGCAAAGTTTTAAATCCTTAATAACTTACTATTTTCACTAACTCTACAGTGAACAGCTACCTGTCAGAGCTTTAACCTGAAAAGCTCAACCCTTTAGTTTAATAACATAGTAAAAAGAAAAATCTTACACAGTGGTGATCATGGTGGGGGGTCAAAACAGACAAGATAGCAGACATGGCCTCACAATCAGGCAGCAGGAGCAGCAGAGCGCAGGGCGGCAGATGTGCAGGGCAGAGCCCAGGGTGGCAGGGCACTACAGCGCAGGGCGGTACACAGGGTGGCAGTGCCAGTGGGGGTAGCAGGGGTGGTGGAGCACAGGGAGGAGCACAGGGTGGTAGGGCCAGTGGGGGAGCCAGGAGCAGCAGAGTGCAGGGCAGCGGGGGTGCAGGGTGGAGTGCAGGGCGGTGGGGTGCAGGGTGGAGCACAGGATAGCAAAAAGAGCAGAGATGGGGGAGAGATAGGCCAGTGGGGGGAGTGAAGCACACCTTCTGGTCATAAATGTGGGTGGGCTGCCAAGTGCCTGAATTTTGATCACATGACTTGGGAGGCGCTGTAACGGCCGTAACTTCAAGGACCAGGCATAAGTACCATTTGTTCAGCACTATCGTAACTTCGAACAGTCTCTGAATGAATGATTGTCAAGCAAGGACAACCTGCATGCAGATTTGTAAATGGGCTTTTAAAATCTTCCCAGGAAATTCAGCAAAGGAAAAAAACCAGAAATATCATTTGCATCTGGAGAGAAGCCCAAAGAAACTTCAGTCATAAACATATTTAATCAGGTGAGAAAAAAAATTAATTTGGATGCAGTATTTGATTGTATGACAGATATATTTAGAACCTTCACAGGCAATACAGTGGTACCTCGGGTCACGAACTTAATTCGTTCCGCGACTCTGGTCGCAACCCGA